AATTAATTTTAAAGTTTTTTTACCAATGACCCAGTAGATGAACAGCGTGTTCAGGTATTGGTACCGATACGTATTTTTGACCGAGTACTTAAACATCTTATGTTAATTAAATGGGAGGGAGGTTATGTTAGCTGCCTTCTACTGATTTTTATACTTATTATGTATGCAAATAACCACATCGAAAAATTTCTTTCTAATTTCATTAGTAACATATTATGAAAACTATAACGACTGGCTTGACATGCTATTATTATTGATTAACAGTGATTTGAATCATTTTTATGTGTTCGAGTACTGGGCATAGGTAAAACCTAATGGTACCAGTACCTGAACAGTCTCACAAGCCACCTCATACAAGTTGCACGAATAAATAACTTTTTTCTCGTTGAGTATGAAGACTTACTGAAATATAAATTTTGTTTTATCTAAAGAACGATCAAAGAAAATCAGAAACATTTTTTTTTTTCATCCACTTGAATTGAAAATAGTTTATTCAAGCTGTTCAATCTACTGGTGCGATTGTAGGAAGTGTCCACGTACTGGTGCTTTTACATTACACTGCAGACTAGCTTAAAACCACCGAAAGAAAGAAAGAGAAGTTGATCGATGAAGCTCTACAGTTAAAATACATATACATACACATATCCTTACTGATTGTCGATGTCAGGATCATCAATGTTTTGTGGGTAAGCAACCGTGCTGCTCTGCGCCTTCTCGTAACCACGTGGACTCGGGACTAAATATTCAGCCATAAGATGGCGCTGGTGTCTTTGTGCACGGAGCCTATATTATTAGGTGATAGGTCGTTTAAAGCCTCTCTGGTAGCGCTGATAGTCACAAGCCTTGTTGAACCTTGGGGCCGATACCAATACGATTTGGCTTAGTTTATATAGATTAAGTAATTTCCAGGTGTGACCACGAGGGAGTTAACCACAACTCGAGCTTTTTTTGACAAATCCAGAAAACTACAATATACTCGTATATTCATTAAAATGCCTTACGAGGAGCTGTACATCCCAGGTGTAAATGTAGAGGGCACAAACTTTGGACCTCCAGTTAGCAACCAGGACGTGTCGGGTCATCAGATTGCGTCTTCCAGCGACACTTCCACAAAGGCGAGACAGTTGCATCTTACAAAGATACCCGTCGGTTATTCTCCCTTTTCACCCATCAAAAATGAGGTAAAGGTGAGCAATTGTGAACAAATGTATTTTTTTTGTTCCTACAAACTCATGATAGTGGTGTATTTGTAGAATGTCTATAAGAGGATGATAGATTGTGCACAATATTCCCTAGATTCAATCAGCGCATCTGTAAGTATGGAAGTTCTTCGTCTTAGTCTTTTTTTACTTTGCTATTTAAGTATTTGATCTTTCTCGTGTTAAACGCTTAAATTAAATTGTGAAACGTACATGCCGAATTGTGTTGTGTTCTGCTTCGTCAAGAATTTCGGACAGAACTGAATATGAATACAACTCTCTACCTGTTAGAAGTCTCATGATCTTACTTTTACCATACCAAACTTTTGCATTTAATTACAATCAAAATTATGTATTTTATAGTTGTATTTGATTCAGATGTTTTAATAAAATCGGAAAAGTAAATATTTGTTATTATCTATAAGGGAGTTGGTCGTGAAGCGCACGGGGGCGTAGTGTCTAGTACTATTTAACTTACATGTATGCAGCTATTTTAATATATAAAAATAAATAAATTTAGTAATATGTTTAATTTTTAGGTCCGTGATAACACCATTTTAGTTACGGGCACCAAGACAGGTCAGCAAGATGAGGACGGAAACGTCTTATTCGATACTACCACTGATATTCCGTGTATAATGCCAGAAGGCTGTAATATGGAAAAAGTCAAGGCATGGCTTGACGAAGACAAGATTTTGTATATATCTGTTCCTCTGAAACATTAGCATGTCGTCGATGAGTAGAATGTAATCATTAAAAACATCAGCTTATTCACGGTCACATCTAACGAAAAAAAATGTAAAAAAAAAAAGAATAAATGATGTCACTACATTACCTCACCTTTTTTTATACGAATAATTAACCAAAGCCATTTGAAATATTATAGTTTAAATCACATTAGTACAAAGATATAAATTATAGTTTAAACATTTTATTGTATAAATTAATTAATACGCTTATACAGTTGTCGATCCGCTAATGCTAAGTTTTTCATCTTACACTTACTAGAGGTACTCACAATTCAAGATACTACTGCAAAAATATCTATAATGCAAGAAAAAAGATATACTAGAAAAATGTTTTATGAGATTTGCTATTGATTTTGTTGTTATAAATAGTTTTTAAGATTTTTAGTTATTTGATGAGGTAAAAAATTTGTAGCTACAAAAAAGCTTAAGTATAAATATCTATATGTAAGGCTTTACACAATGATTAGATAATAGTTAATTAGAAACATCGAATTTTTATCTACTTGTGCTATATAATTTCTTAACAACATGAAAAAATCAGAATACCCACGGAAAATTATGATTAATAGAAGCTTAAATATTTCCATCGGAATAATCTTTTTCATAAATATTTTTTTTTTTTTTTTCAGCCACTTTACTTTGACACTCTTATCATATATACTTAAGCGACGAAAATGTAAGCCGTTCGATGTTCTATATTTTTCTTCGATAAAATTTCTCTCAATAACCTTCATGAAACTATGTGAAGTATATTATTAACGTTGATTTAAACTAAGCTCATTTACAGTATGAGGATTCACTTTCCTTAAGAAATCTAATTTATAAAAAGAAGCACTTAAAAAAAAATCTTTATAATGTATCGTTTAACATAAGATTAAACCCAGATAAATCTAAGATATTATACTGAAAAGTTTAAAATTAACTTTAGAAAAAAAATTGTCCCATTAATAACTGAAAGAAAAGCTGGCAATTTTTACTTACAATATAAAGATTTCTGCTGTGCAACAAATAATACAAAAACTAAGTGTTACTTGATCTTTTAATGTGCAAACATTATGTTATGCTACTTAGATGTTTTTTATGAAGAAGGGGGTTTTTATCATTATATTCTTTCAAAAAAAAGGAGCACATTTTTATTTTTCTTTAATATGTTACGGGGTAAATAAGCTAATCTTAACTGAGAAAGTAAAGAGGTCAAATGAAACGGAAACGAATGAATGAACCTACATCATGTATATTGTAATATTTTTAAAATCTACAAATTTATAACCTGATACACTGAAAATATTAGCAACACTTAAATAAATCGTTAAGTTTAGTATTTATGTTACAAGAAAAATGTTGTACAGATTTTTAACACTGTTAAAACATATTACGTAATGTAATAAGTGAAAAATAGAGTCATAAAAATTATTTATTTTTTAAGAGTTCACTTTTTTCACTTAAGTTAAACATTACATTAAATTCTACCATTTTATTAAATAATTATTTGTATAATTTGACCTTAGCATTAATTTACTTTTGTACTGTAGTTATTTGTCTATATAACTTCAATTATTATAAATTTCGTTCATAGCAATGTTCACTGTTAGCTAGACCGTGCCTTCATTACTTGTAATCAGGAAATTTGAGGTTAGCCGGTGCTGTTGTAATCTACTGGCCTTTTTACTATCATACAATAGTATCCGACCAAGCACTGGACGGCCATCGATTGTCACCGGACGCAATAACCCTTCGGGCGTTTATGTTTGTACTTTTGTGCCCAACGTAATACACTATTTTATGATTTACTGTATCACGATGACCTTTTTACGGGGTATAAGGCCACAAAGGGCGAGGTTGCGGCTCCCTGTGCTGAGAGTAAATTGAAAATGGCTTCCCATCGTTGTACAAACGGTTGGTTTTGTTTGGTTTCCTTAGTTTTTTGATTCTCCTACATGGTTTTTTTACCAAATACAGTATAATCTGTCTGTGACATTTTTCATACAAAAATATGATTAGACTAAGAATTACTCCACCTATTAAAAATAAAAATAGTGGGGCAACTTCCGAAAGACCTAATGATGTACATGAAACTTGTTTTACAATCGTAATCGTATCAAGACTAGCCTTCCTTGTTCGAGATATTAATCCATTTTCTCTATACTTCTGAATACTGAAAAGAAAAAGTTTGTTAAAATTTTTAGTTATGTATATATGTTTTTTTAATACTTACTGATGATTGAAAAATTGAAGTAGTGGATCATCTTTGTTAAAAGCTATACCTTTTTTTCTATAATTACCTAGTGGAATTCCTAAGATATCACAATGGTACTTCATTATAAGTTGACGTCGTATCACGTCATATGTATAATAAGCCACCCTTTCATTGCATACCTTAAAAAAAATAACTTGGAATATATTTCATACGCTAAAAAATAATCCTTTTAATTTATTAAGTATTTTTAGTTTTCAAGAACTTTTTAAAATTGCTTCGATTTAGTGTGTTAGCCTATATAACCAGATGTATACTTTTTACTTGCGCATATTTACTGCACTTACACACGAGCATACATACACGCATTGTTATTTTAGATGTATTGGTATAACGTTTAATAACATCCTCGTAGCACAATTTTTCAACTAAAATGTTTCAGATTGTTCTTAATGATTTTTATGAAATTCTTCTCTACGACAAAAACCGTTTTTTAGAGAATAATATTAAAAAACAGTGATAACAACTTTTACCGCCATTCAAAATGAAACTCGAAAGTTTTATAAAAGAAAGTGTTAGGAATAATATTTAGACGCTTTACTTATATCGTAAAAAGGGTACATTGTCAAATATTTTTAAAAATATTTATCACACAAACTGAATGTTTTACATTACCTGCCTTAAAGCATCTTCTGCTGTTGTAGGTAAACTATTCTTATCCTTCACAAACAATTTCAGTTTATCATTTATATCATTCTTCGAACTCTAAAAAAAAGTTACAAGATAAAGTTTCTAAGTATAATGAAAATGATGCACTCAGTTAGAACTTTATAAAATTACCGAATAAAACGTTAATAGATCAGAGTTTTTTAGAGTGATCAATCGGTATGTTTTGTCCTCTAAAAATTCATTTGCATTTTTAAATGGAATGTGTGTATTGTAACCGTAGCGAAACTGGTAAAACAGCCCGCGTACATTGAAATGATTATAAATGCTGTCAGATATAGCGACAGCCTTGCGATTTTGGATAATACAGAATTAAATTGCACATCTGTAAATTAAAAAAAAATTAAATATAATCAGTCAACCTCACCATACAAGTTCTCAAACTCCTACGGTTTGAAAACCATATATAACAGTAGATGACTATCATACAAGTGCAGTCATCAATTTCGCACAACTTAAATAATTATCCATAATTTTTCCATTTTAAAATTCATGTTTCCCAGAAATGAATTAAAAGTGTAATGTCTGCATGGATAAAAGTATCCCATATACGTCAGAAATTTCGCGAGCTCGAATAATTATTCATAGTTAAAAAATTTTTTTTTTTTAATTTAAGTTTCCAAAAATCATGCAAAACGTTAATGTCTGCAGGAATAAAAGTACCCCATACACGTAACGAATAGACAAGAGATTTTACCAAGATGGACAAAAAACCACTTTCCCCAGCTCTTTAAAAAGTTTATTGGACACTGATTTTTCAGGAAATTTCTGACTGTTCTTTATTCTCGGACGCTTTCCTTTTTTTATGAGCGTTCGCCTTCAGGTAATAGATCTTCTGGAGGGGAGTTAATATTTTTTAGCTAAAAAGTTATAAGTGTAGTTTAATCGAGATTTCTACGGAAATGAAAGGGTACAGCTTAATTTTATTTGTTAAGTTTTACTTGTCCAACAGTAGCATGAGTGAGGCAAAGAGTGAAGTAATAATCATCGATATTGTTTTAAATTTCTTTTGGTCCTTTTCGCGTTGCTAGGAGCTTCCTGCAATTGCTATTTTCTTTCGATTAATGATTAAACAGTAGAAATAAATAGTTATTTAGGTAACAAGCGTGGAAAATACGATTTCCTGCAAAAAAGTGATTGATTTGCACGAGTTACCGTCACCGGCCACAAGTGCATGTTTAGGTATTACACGAGTGCGGGAAGTCGTTCCGCACAAGTTGCGTTCAAGATTTTTAGCTGTAAACGTGTGAGGAAAATAGGTATAAAACTGTTATGAATGTTGAAATCCAGTTGGTAGCAAAATTTTTCCTGGTGTGCGGTAAAACCTTTGCCACATACTGTGTCTACACTACGGCGGAGTGGACTTTTTCCTACCTCGAAGCCTATCCAACCGGAACGATGCACAAAATAGCCCTGATGATGATGGCACTTGTATGACGTGACTACTATTTTGTGCCTTGGGCGTTTTTAGCGTTTTTAGGGTCGGACGTGCCCTTGGTAGGAAAAATAGGGTTTCCCACACAAGTGCCATCCAACCAGGATGTTAAAGACTTTGCTGTATTTTTGTAAGAAAGCATCATTAGTAGTTCACCTGTGAATTCCTGGTGCACAAACATTCGCCATACGTTTAAAAAACTGTCTGACAGTTTGTAAATAAATCCTCTTCTATCATTATGTAATACCAAAATTATACTAAATAGAATTGACGAAAAAGCTATAAGTATAATCAAGAAAATCCAAATACGCTTATTAAAAACCTGTTTAATTAAAAGGATATAAAAAGTTATAAGAAAATAAAGTCACAATTATTTCATAACTCAAATTTTTTTACCTCAAAATAAGCGTTCCAAGGAATCTCCATGGTGTCCGGTGATTTATACCAAAATATATCTTGATAATCTAGGATTTCAATCGTTAAGTCATACAAATCTAAATTTTGATTGCTTAAATACATGCTAGGGGCAATAATACTCTCATTTAATAATTTTGTAGAATTAATTGATGTGTTCTTGAAGCTTTCATTTGATTCCCTCTTAATACGGGAAAAGTTCTCATA